GTCAAGTGAGAGCCAGCGGCATGAAGCTTGTATCTTCATTGTTCTGATCATCAGGATAGGGAAAGGTGAGCCGATCACTTTTGATTCATAATTTTTATTCGCATCTCCGGTTTTTGCGTGTTTCGGTGGATGATACCTCAGAATGCAAGATCGGTAGGGGAAGCCAGCTAGGCGTAAGACGTGTTTTTCCCATCGTCAGAGAGCTAGCCCGACCAGTGGCCCACACCACGTCTTCGACCGACAGGGTGGCCACACTGCTCGGTCACAAGCTCGACCGCAAGCTGGGAGGCTTCAGAGCCCGCTTTCGCGAAGAACGCCGCCCGGCCAACACCGGTGCCAACTCCTGGAGCCCCACCACGGGGGTGCTGGCCTTCGTCGCTAGAAATTTGGGCGGCTCGTCTGCAAGCCGTGCACGCAGGGAACCCTCGCCAGGCGTTCGAGACCGGCCTCTAGAAGTCAGCAGCCCAGGACGGCCCCACGAAGACCACCAGCGAAGACCGCTGCAAGTCTGAAGCGTGTTTCACATGCAGCGATTTTGGCCCTAGAGCGGCGCGATTTCTGCCGTCGCGGCGCTCGTGCCGCTAAACAGCTGGTGCTGGCCAGAGCGCCGCGACGGCAGAAATCGCGCCGCTCTAGGGCCAAAACCGCTGCATGTGAAACACGCTTTACATTCTTCACCCGCTGCAACCGCAACATCAACCCCTCATCCTCGTCCACAATCTCCATTTAAACCATCATCACCATTCCTTTCAAAAATTCATTTGTATGATACCATCTCATCATCGTTGGACGTGGCGCCGTGGGCCTTCACGGTATGAGCGACTTGCCTTTCTGCGGCGCCGCGGGTCTCCTGAGCCGAAAACAACCACATCACTATCACTATGCAGTAAAAAATTATATTTTGACTCGCCTTCCTGATTTTGATTGACTCAACTCCTGTTTTTTTATTGAAATAATTAGACGCGCCGTTTGTTTGAAAACAACATCGTGGGAATTAGTTCTACACCTTTCGCGCTTCGAAAAGATGCATCTTTGAAATTTCGATCAACTTCTTACTTGCCAAGGGTGTGCGTGTTCGTTACGGCGAGAGGCGGGTAGCACATTTGACGGTGTTCCGGAGTCCCGTAGACCGACGATTATGGTGATGATGATAATTCGCGGCTATTTCTTTGTGTTGTTTAGTTTAGAGTTCCTGTATAGGCTCCCGTAGGGACAGGCACGTAGCCAGGTTTTTGTTTCAGGGGGGGGGGGGGGGGTTCGGGGGCGCCCATTAAAAGATGCTGTATGAGGGGGAGGGGGGAGATGAGGCCCCAGCAAAATACAGGAACTCTAGTTTGGTTTTGTTGCGAGCGCTACCAAACACCCCGCAGTAACAGTCTCTACCGCGAAGGCCATGTCGGAGGCCATGAGGGTATATCACAGCTTCTCCAGAGCTCGGTGCTGAAGCAAAGTCAGCATCAGCATCTCAAACGTTGAATGTGTGCACACGGCATAGAGCTCGTATTTTCGTTAACAGTGCTGAGGTAGAGGAGCGCGAGCGCGTTGAGACGATTCAAGGGTCGTTCAGCTGGTCCGATGACTCTGGCAGTGCTTTCTTTCACGCAGCCTTTGTAAGACGCGGTTTCCATCAGTAAACAGTGGGAGAGATAGTCGCAGAAAATTCCACTGCGGCGAAAAGGCCGAAGCCGTCAAAGCCCTGCCGATAACCAGGTCAAGGCGAGACGGTGTCCGAGGAACACTTGAGAGAAACGCGAAAAACAACAGAACGGAAACGATGGGCAAATTAAAGAAATATATCACGAAACTAGCGATGTAATTTGAAGACTCAAGCGAATGACGAGATAAAAAGAAACCCTTACCTCCTATTCAGTAACGCGATCTGCGAGGGAATAAGGATAATGACGTTTCTCTTGCTCAGTCTCGCAAAGTAAAAAAAGTTGAGAAAGTTTATATAGATTTGTTATTGGCTCGCCGCGAGCCTTTTGACCAAAATGATTGGACGCGCAGTTCGTCTGAAAACAATTAGGCGTGCATTTATTCTATATCTTTTCCGGTTTTAAAAGAGCAACACTCGGATTTCAACGTACACCTTCCTTGAAAAAGTTACGTGTTGTGGTGAGAAGCAACGTGTATAACAAACGAACGCCTTTTCATCCGGGCACCTAGCAAAGCAAGCTTGATGATGATAGTCTCCGGCCCTGTACCCAGTGGCACCGCGCAACGGCAACAACCTGAACACTTTTTTTTCTATTTTTTTACAAAGTGAATGACCGGAGGAGAGCTTTGCACGCTGAAAATCTCGGAAGCCATGATGCAACCATGGCCTCCGATATTCTTGGCGCGCAAAGCTCTCCTCCTGCCCATCCAAACGCTCGTTTGCTCAGCGGAAGGAGCGTATAGACCTTTCCAGCGGCAGTCTCGAACGAAGCGATTAGCGCGCGTCCCTGGTTTTGAGAGTGTACGTTGATGTTGCCTGACTGCGCTGGGCTGTGGGTTTTCTTGTCAGTAGGCTGTGGCAACCTACGTAGGCGCAATTCCGGACGCTGGTGGCGGCAAAATTGCCCCGTTTTTTTTTTTTTTGTTGTTGTTGTTGTTTTTTTTTTCTTTTTTTGTTATGTGCTTTATGGCGAAGAGAATTTCTCTGAGTTTTTAAGAAATCATTGCATTATTTTTGGGAACAAAAACAAACAAATGAAAGCCCTTTTTGGCGAGTCCGTGCGCGACAGGACCAATGCAACTGGAATGTTTGTTTCACCTTATGTTTATCTTTTTAACGGCACCATACACTCAGCCGTGTCAATGTGGTAAGGTCTTAACTGCCTAAAATATTTGATCACACCACAGGATAGCCGAACTGCATGGGCATTCTCCGCTCACAACATGAAATTCAACGAGTCTCATCAATCGAACAACATATATTGTACGTACCTCACGGTGCCGCGTTATCCGAACAGGATTTGAGGAAGGTTTCAAATAACACAGCATATCCAAAATGCAGTGTCGACGATAGTCACTTCTCGACGATCGGACAGAATCCGGCTTGTCTTGAGGTAGTTTTGAAGAGTGATGCCTTTTTACACAGCACTAAAGCAAATGAACGAACGTGTCTATTCAGTCCCCATACCCCGGACACTATCAGCTACTCTTCGCGAAGACCGGGAACATAGCCCGAAAGGCTTTTCAGAAATTATCCCAACGGAAATAATCCTCGAAGACCGTCGAACGCCCCGCGTCGCGGGCTGCTTGACGTTCACTCTCTTCGCTTGTTCCCTGCGAAGGTCGAGCAGGCTACGAGCCCTGGTATTCCCTGGTTCTCACAGTGGAATGTGTGCACGCCGTATGTAGAGCTCATATTTTCATTAACACTGCGAAGGCTGAGGCGCGCGAGCGCATTGAGACGCGATTCAAGTTCCGCTCAGCTGGTGCGCTGGCTCTGGCGGGGCTTTCTTTCATGCCTTTACTAAGACGCGGTGTCTAGCAAGCCTGACCTGGTCATAAGTAAAAAGTGTGAGATTGCCGCACGAAATTCCAATGCGCCGAAAGGGCCGAAACTGTAAAACTTAAAGCCCCTTCACGGTTTGAAAAGTAGCGCAAGGTGCGTCGATGAACGAGGCACGTGCAACGTGCAGCCCTTGGGAAGATCATGGCGGCACAGCGCAGCACTGACCTAGATATCAGATGCCATCTTCTTCCCAAAAGTGGCGCGCGGCGCGGGTCTCGAGCAGTTCCACAACAATGAATTCCGCCACTTTTCCCAGGATAGAGGGGTTATAGTAAAACCCTGCCGATAGCAGTCATGGCGAGACGACGTTGCTGGAACACTTGAGAGAAACGCGAAAATCACAAGAACGAAAACAATGGGTCAAATTACATAAAGATATCACTAATTATAATGTAACACCTGAGATTGCGCGGTGCGTAAAAATTAAGAAACGCTCAAGTCGAAGTAAAAGACAACAGTAGGAGAACGACTCAAACGCGTCTGCGTTTGAAACGCTCTCCTGTCTTGGTGCTGTCGCTCAAAATGGCGCTGTTGCTCCAGTCAAAATTGAGAGCTCGAACCGATAGATACTCTTTCACGTGCTACGGAGAAAAAAATACAACATAAGCCTGGTGTACAAAATAACCTTGATGTCACTATCCAGCACTAAAGTACCCTAGTGAATGCACCCCTATAAGGGAATTTTCGTAATCGTTTTCATGCGCTCACGCTCTCCGGAACCCGCTGGGAAATCTGTACAGGCGAGACTATCGGCGCGCATGCGCAGGAGCGGCGTCTTCGTTGGGGAGAGGAGGGGGAACAACGGTTTTCAAAACCCACCTTTTGTGCAGGCTTTCGGCTATAGCGGCTGTACACGGCCAACACCAGAATAGTGAAAAACTCTGAACGCCCCATCTTAAAGTAATTGTGCTGTTTGTACGTATGTATAGACAGTCGGAAGTTGTTCAGCCCCAATGGACGTTAAATATGAGAAATTTAGCCAGTGCAGTACAACCGCTAGCCTGGGGTTTTCAACGTGCACTACGGTATAGTGATGCACGACCGCACGCCGGTACAAAGCTCATTCAGATGGAAACGGGCAGGGGTGGAGATTGAAAATTCAGGATCCCTGGGTTCCGCGGCGCGAGCTTTCGCTTCACGCGCTCCGACCTGCGGTGCGTTAGCACACTCGGCCACCGATCCCCTTCCCCCCTCCTCCTTCATAAAACGTCATCAGAGTCAGATGGCGCCAACTTAGCAATTGGACCCGAGTCGGATGCCGAACGTCCTTCGACGCGTCGATTGGACACGAGGCCCAGCCGAGCACTGACGCAGCACTCGGATCCAATCTGTGTCTCCGCACGCTATCACTATGATAACATCACAATTCTGGTGCACAGGCCTTGATTATTCTAGGTGGCGTTGGCACGGCATGCGCGAGGCTTCCGACTCGGCGCAGGGACGCCAGAGCACATAGCGAGTACGGGGGCCCAGTGGGCGAGGCGGCGTTTATTGCGTGTCAGCCCGCCACCCGGAACCCGTGCGTGGTGGCGTTGGTCCCTGGCGCTCCGCACGAGTCCACCACGTGGATCTTCCATCCCAAGTGCCTGTGGGTGTAGCACTGCAGGGCTCGTTAGTCGGTCTCCGCCACCGGCACGCCGTCCCCCGGCGGCACGCACCTGATAGTGAACCAGGTCTGGGGTACTCCGATCGGGAGTCCACTGCATGTAGGCGGCAGCTCCGGGCCGGCACTGCAGAGTCAGGCGCTCGCGAAACTGCTCGAAGGTCGGCCACCGGTCCGGCAGCTCACCCAGGGGTAACTGCCACTCACAGAGGCGTCCCGCTGCACGTGCGACAGAGATCAAATCAAGTCGCTTCAGTCGGGATATCCTCAGTAGCCCTAGAATTGCGTTTGAGAAGACACTGGAAACTCGAGAAGTAACCACATGGAAGCCGCATACTGGTCGTTTCGCAAAGAGACTCTTAACGAAACGTCTCTGAAACTTCCAGTAGGTTTCTTTCAAGCTTACTACCAGCTTCGGTTACCTTTCTTTGACAACCTGTCCTGAATGTCAAACGTCAGATAATTTCCGCTGTAACGCTCATGTCAAGGCTGACGACATATCTGATTTCGGTTGAAACTCTCAATGAAAAGAGCGATTTTATTTGAAAATTATCATTTCGATTCAATTTTACTTCTGACTTGGTCCTCTCACTTCTTTCGAAAAGGAACGTGGTTGTTGTTTCGTTACCCAGATGTGTTACAAGTAAAGGCCGATTCAGAGAGTGGCGTTTAACTAATAAGGTCCGGGGGCGTACGCTGAGATACGAGTTACCGCTCCAACGAAGAGTCAATATACGACTGCCAGTGAAACAGCATGCTGTGTGAATGACCATTAGCCGAGTGATATCGGTACCATGTTACGCAAAGGACTTCATTGGCACGCTCGAGTTTTGCGACTTGCCACTAATTTGGCAGATTGCTAGGGGCACGTGAACAGTCTCTAGGAGTGAATCGTGTAAGAATGAACTCTTGCGACATTGATATGACAATCTGCACCGTTTCCATTTCCGGGTATCCTCGCGTAGTACACCAAAGCGCACTCATAGCTATCTGTACAGCCCTTTCAGCGGCTTGCATCGACGGTAAAAATATGCCTTGTTCAAAATTAATATTCGCAAGCTCTGTCATTGGCACTCTGTGCACTCTGACGCGTATGTAACGTAGGGGCAGTTTTTGAAGGCACTTTGTATAATTGCTAATTACAATCGGAACTGTTCCCTACCGAAAAATCCGGTATAACTTTTCGCTATCCGGATTATGGAACCGGAAATCTATCTGGATTCTATCTGGACTCTATCTGGAATTTAGGTTTTCAGAAATTATTCTTTTGTCTGCAATCTGGATTTCGGGTTTCCAGTAACAAATTTCCGGTTCCATATTCCGGATAGGGAAAGTTATACCGGATTTTTCGGTAGGGTTATGGTAACTCGATGTACAGAGTCGAAGAGAAAACAAAATATGAGGGAGTCAAAAAAGAAAGCCTTCGCATTGTGATTCTGTCGATACCCTGAAATTACCAGCCCAATTCTCCAACCGGTCTTCATTTCAAGAAGACATTGGTCAAAGATCTGATCAGTGGCTTGCATAGCGATTCCTTAGAACGATTGCAACAACACTACTAGAAATAAGTGATGACTTTCAATTTCCATCGTCAGGCGACATTAGTCGCCTTTTGCCCCATTTTCCTAGGCCTTTGTCTAAATAAAACAATATTTTTAATTTGAAATCTGAATTTACTTTTATCACGTTTGGAGGCGTAAGTTGATTTTGCTTTTTCACGATATCAGTGTCCGGTTCAGAACTGGTGAAAGCAACCACCAAAGTGTTTCAGAACCTTACTGTCGGACGTCGCCTACGTCATGCATCCATTTCAAAGTGGAATAGAAGGATTTCAGTAATGCCAAGTCCGGCCGCAGCCGACGCCACGATCCTCGGGAGTCAATCAAACAGCATCGAAAGTGCATCGTCACTACGCAATCTGGCCGCCGGATTGCTCGCCGACTTTATAGCCAAGTGTCCAGATTAGGGCCTCTGGACCGAATAACGTGCCCTCTGCTGGTCAAGGACGATTACCACGCTTACGTCGAGGACGACATTGTGCGAGGGTTGCTATGGCAACAGCTGCGTCGGCTCCAACAAAACCGGTTTTTAGCCCCTTTTGTTGGAGCCGCTGTTGCCATAGCAACCCGCGCACTCGATCGGACTCAACGCAAGTGTGTGAATCGCACATTACTCGAAAGACCAGGATAGCAGTGGTATATCGTTGGCCGCGTCGCACCTCTTGAAGATCTGGCGCAGCCGACAGCTTATGGAAACCGCACGGTGTATCCACACAGCACCAATTTAGCAGCCGAGACAGAAAACAAAGGCAGAGGCGGCAGGCACGCAGTACTGCTTCCGAAACATTTAGCCGTCGGAGAGAGAAAGTATGAAAAAGCCGAAGGCATCAAGCACGCAACAGTTAAGACAGTCACCGACAGATAATAACCAGAATAGACAGAGAGATAAACACCAGCTTCAACGAAGCTTGCGTTTACGGCCTCATTTTTCATATATAGTAAGCAAATATCTCAAAACGGGGCAACACTCTTACACGAGTACCACATCCAATTAATATCACGCCCGACATCCTGGGGTTTTGTTCTATAGATTTATTTGCCCCACCTATCTTTCGTTGGATCCTAGTACATCATTCTTTCTTCGTAATGAATCGCTTAATTAGTTAAATGTAGAGTGTCTTTTTTCTCTCCAAGTTTGCGACCGAATCCTTACGTTCTATTTGGCAGAAATCTCCTAACGTGTTTCTTATTTTTTCTACAAACTTAACTCTGCTTCTAGCAGAAACGGGGAGAATAGAACAATTCAATCAAACAACTTGATCAGGGCTCATCCTTAATGGATTAGCTGCAGCCCCGGCCCCTAGATCACCATGTGGCACCAGACGCCGCACCAGACGGTGATGAAGAGCCCGTGCTGTCTTTGCACTCAACACTGGCGCATGACCCCCACCCCGTACTCACCGGCAGTAGGATAGGGCTTGTTATTTTTGTGGCGGCCCACCCCCGCAAACAGGCGCTCCACTTTACGATCAGCAGTCGACTTATGCTCGTAGCCGCCTCCGGGATCCGAGGTGATGTAGAGCGGGTGATTCTTGGCCGAATTCTCCGGGTCATTGCCACCCTCAACGACGAACGTGTACGTCTTACCACGCTCCACCCACAGCTCTGGAATGAGCAAGCCATTCACATACCAGGCGATGCCCCAGCCCACGTGGCCAGTGATCGCCTGGTATCCCTTGCGGCCGCCCGCGGGACCGATCTGCATTCGGAAAGTCCTGTCCTCGGGGCACACCACTGCCGGAATCTGCCAGGAATCCTCAGCCGACAGTGGCGGCTCAGTGGCAGTCGCACCCCTTTCTTTGGGCGCTTCCTCGTCCGGTGACGGGCAGTTCCAGGAGGGCTGACGCCCGAAGTCTAAAAAGACATCCCCTGCGAAAAGGGACGTTGAGGAGAGCGATGCACATACGCAGTCGAAACGCACCTTGACTGCGCAGACTATGGTACGATGCATCTGCGCGGTCGTTGATAGGACCCACCGCCCACATAACCGCCTGCGGACCGTCCGAGTAGATGTGCTGGTCGTAGGCGGGGTCCTCTGGAAGGTCGCCACAGCTAGAGCGAAGGCTCGTCAACACATATAACCAGACACTCACGAGCAGCCTGAGCCCTCTTGAAGGTGACCATGTGGTACCCATTTACGGTGGCCGCGTCCATGAGGGTCACGCTGGAACGTGCGGCGCGGTCGAGCTTGGTGTCGGGGCAGCTTCCGCGTGTTCCAACGCACTGCAAGCGGCTCAGGTTCGTCTTTGCACACAGTAAGAATCGCACTCACCTGCTCTTTGCTGGCGAGGAAGTAGTCAACGGCGTGGCCTTGTCCGGCACCATCGATCCAGGCAACCACGGCGTCGGCGTCCACCATGTTTGATTTGGCGTCATCCTTGCTTAAGCCAAAAGACATGTACTCGCCGCCCCGAACGCGCCCCACTATCTGCATGATCGCCTCGTCGTTGTCCAAAACCCAGCGGAATTCGAGCCCCAGTGGCTCGTGGAGCACCTCGCAGTTAAGTCCGCTGACGTTGCGACCAGCAGTCCCCTGAGGGTGCTTATGCGGCACCTGATGCTGCCCTATGGCTAAAGCCAGCTGCCGGGCAGAAGGCGGAACACGCAGCTCGTGTGGTATGGCGACGCTACCGAAGTCCACTTCGGCCAAGTCGCACCAGACGCCGAAGCGGTCGAAGTCGTAGGCGCTCACGCCGTCGGGCAGCGAGATGACGACTGTCTTGCCCGTGGCCGGTGCCAAGGGCGCGTCACTGCGGGTAAGCGCCGTGGGGCCGATCACGCGGTCGGGCTCGCGCGGGACACTCACCTGCCGTTCTCGTCAAGCAGCCGCGTGCCGCCGCGGTGCTGCTTGGGGCCCTTGGACACCCACCAGTAGGCCGCTGGACAAACAAGCACACACTTGCCAGTTCAATCACTTTTATTCACGCTTTCCAGCGGTACAGTTCAGGGATGCCGCTCACCGGGCCCGAGGCCGTCGTACTTGAAGTCTGGTACGAGAAACGTCTGCGCGTCTAGCAGGGATACGCGTCCAGAAGACACTCCATGGTCCCAGGTCGGCAGAGCCTTCAATGTTGCCGCCTTGGGGATGTCCAGGCTCCGCGGGATGATTAGATCTCCGAAGTTGGCCTGCAGGCGCAAAATCGTTGGCTCCGAACCAGCCAGAGTCCCACCTTCGCACTTACCCTGAACTTTCTACACCAGACTGCGAACCAGCGAATCTTACGCAGCGTCTGATCGCCCGGCAGTCGCAGCACCAAGTCTCGGCCGTGATAGGCTCCCAGCGGCTGACTCCTGCGAGGGAACGTGGATGGAGCCACCCCTTGAGACCTCCCGGCGCGCACACCTACCTGCCCTGCTCGTCCGGGATTATGAAGCCGGTGTGGTCCGGCCGCGTTGTCGACCCAGCCCAGAAGTAGGCGTCTGCGAAAAAACAGAACCTTCAGAATGCCCATGCGGCTGCCAGCGGGATCGCGTCCCACCTGGGCCCGTGCCGTCGTAGTGAAAATCCTTGAGGTAGAGCGTCTTCTCGTCCACGGCGTACACCTCGCCGGAGACACCGTGGAAATGTGTGTTGAGCTTGCCGATGCGCGTGCCCAGGTAGGGCTCGACGGCCACGACCGCGAGGGCCGGCCACAGGAAGAAGGCGCACCTGCTCAGGAGCATGGCCGATGGAGCAATGACCGTCGCCGGGACTCTTCGAAAGTTCTGCTGACCCAGCCTCCTGAATCCAGGTCAACAGGCAAGGGGGCTGCCTCTCTCGACGCGCAAACTGGATTTCAAGGTTCGCTTTCTTTGCCGGGGAAAGGCTTGGGAAAGTGGCCGCCTCCGAGCTATTCACGCGGGTGTCCAGCTTTCCCCGGGGCTAGCTGATGAAAGCAATTTCTTCCGGTGATGATTGTGTCGCGAGGATGACCTTGAGCTCGCTGCACGGTCGTAGGTATACACGACCTTCGCGGGGCCTCATGACCATGCCGCACGCAGCAGAACTACACTGAGACTTGAAGCGCGACCGACGCGTTCCCCGTTGCACTTCTCCGCCCATCCTTCTCCGGGACCTCCGACCCAGAAGTCCGGTCCTCCCACAAGGCGTCAGCCGGGCAAAACCCCGGAAGCAGGCCTCGTTGCCACCTCTGTGCCAAACAACAAGGTCGTTCGAACCAGCCGACGTCTAGTGTCATATCAGAAATCCGGGTTAGCTGCTTCTAAATACAGCTACCGTAGGAGAGAGCAGAGGTCCTCGAGTTGCGCCCTGTTGTCGGACTCGCACAGGCGCCATGCCCTGTCGCTCGCTTGGTCTCGTGGCTGCCGCGTTCATTGAGCGTGGCCCGGGAAACGTGTTCGGGACGCCTCTTTCCGCCGCGCTAAAACGAGTTCGTGAACCGTGCATTCTCTTCCGTTATCACGGTGTGGGCGAGGGGGCCGTACGGAACCGGCCACAGCTTTTCTGCCCACGGCTGCCGATACCGACGGAAACACTCCGTCTATAGCACGGCGTCTGCCAAAAGGACTCGAATAATGAAAAGACTGTAAGTGCGCAGGCGAGCTGCTGGTAGCTAATCAGGTCGTTTAACCCCTGAGACTCTAGTGTAGAAAAGAAAAAAAATTTAGTCGAAGGAACAGACACAGAAGGGAACGTCTCGCGTGGCAAGTGGCCGCCTCCGAGACACAGAAGGGGAAATGAGATGTTCCCTTCTGTGTCTGTTCCTTCGACTAAAAGTTGTTTTGTCTTTTTTTCCTTTTATGAACCAGTCTCGAGTGTTAAACGGCATGACTCGAATAGGGCTGGCCTCATTCTAAAACACTCTTTGTGGAAAACAATGGCTTAGGCTTCATCTTAAATGCACCCAAACACGCTCGTTTTCACCTCCGGGAAGGGCACGTCAACAAGGGGTAAGCTTCCAGACGACCTTCCACAGCTTGTCCACTCTGTGTTCCACTGTCCACTTTTTGGACTTTATTTAAGTGACCTATTAAAGAAGTCTAGCCCCGAAACGCTAAGGAAGGCGCCGTTTTCTTCTACGAAAAATGCAAAAGAAACAATTAACAAAAAGCGGGCTCAAGAGGTCGGAAATAAATTTATGCACTCGAGCCAAGGAGTTTACCACTCGTGACCGCGCAATCATAATTACCGCGCGTTACATTGTTCTAGCTCCTCAACCATTCTTGGAAGAGCAATTCGCCGATAGAACCTGAAGAGCTTAGATTTCCCAAGGTAGTGAATTGATGTATCGCCTGTCGTGTCAGCACGAGAAATTTGCCTCAGAGGCCCTAGAAAACAGTGGGTAGACAAAAGAACACGTCCTCACTATTCACATGTCTCACTCGAGATCAGCTGATGCGCGACAAGGGGTGGCCAGCCTGAGATCATTGCACTGCTAGTTTCAGCCTGATATTGCAGCGTCCTTAACCTGCCACATTTCGTGTGTGAAACAAAATGTTAATATGCAAAAATTGGTGCCTCGTATACGCACATTCCGCATCACTATACTCCGTTTCACCCTACAGGGTAAAACATAGTATACTATAGCTTCGCTCGATTTACGCACACCTCCCGCACCGGTGCAAAAAAAGCGTAGGGCGGTGTACTTCCGGTCGTATCTCAATACACATAATACACATACCGGAAGTACACGGCCCTACACTTTTCTGCACCGGTGCAGGAGGTGCAGGTAAATCAAACGAAGCTACTGATGCCTTAAAAATGGCGGCGGAAGAGCAGCCGACGGAGTCAGTAATCGATGTGGCGCGCGTTCATATCAATGTTTTCTTGTGCTCCGTTTGTGCATGTGACATCCGTGTGTGATGTGTTCAACCAATTGATGAAGCGTACAGTGTATGTGCGCATTATTAAGTATAGGAGATGCAATGCCTAAAACCCTGCAACCGCGCGGGCAAAACAATAACTTTTGTAGCCTTTAAATTGGGCGGTAGCTACGGCCACCAAGCCTCTCAAGCTGGGTGGCGCCAGCTCAAGAAAAACAAACGGTTACTAACTTCCTGTTAGCAACACTCTCGTTAATAACTGCAGTTACTAAGAGGTTAGTAAAGTATGTGCCAAGCAGTTATTACTAACCTCTTGTGGGTCAGCAGTGAGTACTAATACTTCTTTCTAACCACGAGAACGCATTGCGGTAAAGCAGAGTAAGAAATGTAAAAAAATGGGAAGGCATTTTTCAGTGCAACTCGGAGAATGTGCCTGCAGGAAGCCATTTTGAGAAAGCATCGCGGGAAAGCAGCGTAATAAAGAACCATTGTGGGGAAGTAGAGGGGCCACTCTTCAGTGTACCTCGGAGTGTGTGTCTGCGGGTATGCATTAGGGAGTTTTCGTAGACCGCGTTTTCCCATCCGCTAAGCCCTCCGAAACGAAGCAGCCGCTACTGCGCCTGCGCGCCGATGGCCTTGACTCCAGAGTTCCGGCTAGCGTAGTCGGTTTCGGAGAGCGCTGCGGGACGGCGAAAACCATCTACGAAAATTCCCTAATGCGAGAACGAATTGCGGGGGAGCAGTGTGATAAAGGACCATTGTGGGAAAGTGGAAGGGCCTTTCTTCAGAGTGTTCCACGGAGCATGGAGAGCTACATACATCAAAATATTTGGCTTTGTCTTCATACGCAAAAATAGAGTTATATAATGTGATCGCTGGTTCCTGAGTAAAACCTTAGACGAATGTGTCTTTCGAGCAGGGAATCGCAGTCCGGAAACAACGGAGAAGGTGCGGACACGGAGTACAAAGAACCCCCAGAAAAGCGTCAAGTCTGCGGCTTACGTTTTGCATGGTTAACATACGGCAGTGCGAATGCTTATAATCCAAGCCGTTCACGTATCCTCAGAAAGTGGCTCATGACCGGGTTTGTGAACCCTGAAATCTAGCCGCAATTGCACAAAATGTCGTGGTCAATGTATTTCTGTTGTTGTTGTTTTGAATTTTTATGAACAAACGTCAGCGTTGTTTTTGTTTTGTTTTTTTATGTCAATAACACAAAATGGCGGAAAACTTGCTCAGCTCCCCGGTTGCCCGAGTTTCTATCTTCGCTGTGATCATAAATGGGCGGCATTTTTAGAACTGTCAGAATGGTGTAATTGGTCCGAATAGTTCTGGAGCACCTTTTGTGGCAGCGGAAGTTCCATTTTAGAGCAAGAAAAATAACGTTTGCTGTGCAAGCATACATTTAATTTTCGTTTATTTCACTGAAAACGCTATCTCAAGGTTCACCTATTTAACTAGACGAGACTGTCTTCCTAGCTTTCCCTCTCATTGTTACTTGAGGACCGCAAATTCCACTCTAGTAGTAGGATAATCCAGCAGGCAGTTTAATTCGCCCGGACAATCGACTAGATATTTAGTGGTGCTTAAAAAGAGCAGATATAACAACAAAAATATTTCGATGAGAGCCCACTTTTTTGTTCAAAAAGCTGGCTCCACCAGCCGTTTTTGAAATACAAGTTAATTGGTGAAGAACCTAATATGATGAGTAATATTAACTTTCGGTGTGGAATCAAAGGTAAACTAAATCGCTACGCCACAATTTTGTTTTAAAATATAGTAACGGGTCAAGACTTCAAATGCTTGCATAGAGTGCTAAGTAAACGAGACATAGGACATACAAAATTAATCTATACTGGAGCCCAGCTATGCGTAATCGAGGGGTATTTTGAAATCCGCTCGGTATGTGCAATCGTTTCTTGAATCTCAAATTAAAAATTTAACACCACTGAGGAAATACGCAGCTGGTCAGTGCGCCGCAACCTATCAAATACGTTTGTACAATAACGCGGTTTTATATGAGGAGATTAAAAAGGAAGCTTATAAAGAGGAGAGAAAAAAAAAACAGCGATACGCAGGATGGCGCAAGCTTTCTATGAACAAAACGAAAGTGGTTTCGCAAAAATCTGATCACACAAAATGTTTTTTTTTTTTGTTGTTGTTGTTTTTTCTTTAGCGCTTGTGATGTGTCTTTTCCAGGAGCGTCTTTCGGTTGATTGCATAAATTTCGCTCCCATGACTTGAAGTCCTGTCGGAGTATCACGCACGACAAGAATAGCATTATATCGTAATTTTAGTCATACTGCTTCAAATTTATAATCAACACGTTGCGCTTCGTAAAAGCAGCGCAGACTGCACTCATCATGCTCTGCGCGGCGCTCACCCCGCGAGAGTTACTTCTCCGCAGTGCTCCTGTGCCCAGGGAGAAACGCGCTCAACGGAGATAACTAGCCCCAGAGCCGTGTATAGAGAGTTTGGTCAATGGGAGGCGCGGGCAGAGCCAGGGCGTGCACCAGAATGCGAGAGAGGACTTGGCATGTTCTCTTGACCAACCAGAAACTGAAAAGAATCCCCTAGCGTTGGTAGCGAAAAACAGTTTTAATCATTCGTATCCGTTGGTTTGTGGTTTTAATAAACACGCAAGAGTTAAATATAGTAACCATTCATGGTTGAAAATGGGGAGCACGTGATGTTTCGATCATGATCCCGAAGAAAGATGTAAGAAACGAATATGCCGCTCAACTCTGTTTTGCTCGGACAGGGTGTGACAGCTCGGACGGCAGATTCCCGGCCCTCGGCGCTTGGCGTACGGATTATGTCGATCGTTCCGCTAGTCGCACTTTTCCTCCGTGATTTTGGATGACCGTAATTCAAAACATCACGAGCACCATATTTTCAGC